AGACCGTACATGAACTACGGTCCGACAATGACCTGTTAATAAAAGTAAAATGCAGTGAATTTTTCGAGCCATAATTTAGTTTCCCTATCAAAAATTGCTAGTTACCAGTTTTTTTAGAAAAAAAAACCATGCCGTTTATTCACCAAAATTAATTCAAACAGATTGTACTTCAACATAGATAATTCACATCCGCATTGCATTACAAGAAAGTCTTCCGGAATTTCTGAAAAATTACGTCGATACAACACACTTAATAACAGACTTGACCCATTAGGTCAAAGGACGTTGTTGCAGGTCAAATCATGCGAGTACATCCTGGCGGAAAGTGCTTTTCATCGAGAGTTTGTGTACGATCCCACACATTCGTCAGTGGAGAAGATATTGACTTTGACTGTGTTCCATATGTATTAACCTTGTAAATTCGGATGGTACGTAATCAATATTGTAATAAAATGTGCATATTTTTTGTGATCATTTCTGTTTCTTCATTGTAAAAGTCAATGAAGACCAACTAAATTCGTAATTTTATTTTCCCTCAAAGACTTAATATCCCCCTCAATCTGTCGCATGGTGAATTAAAATTGTCATTTGCACTCTTTTCCGCGGCGGGGGGGGGGGGGGGTGCTTGGGTAAGCGTCCACCCCTAGAGTTGTGGATCTGGATGCTAATGTAGGCAAGTGTGAGGTGTGTATGGGGATCTAAAAACTAACTCTGTGACGCGATTGTGCGACTCGCCGAATATCGATTATTGCACTCTGCGACAGGATCACAGTGTCACTCTTCGAAGAGCACGATTCCCATTGGTTGGTGGGTCGAAAAGCGTGAATCTCAATGGTCGATCGATGTAAGGGTACACAGCATGCCTTATAGAAATGTTTAGTTTTAAATGGTTATTTCACCGACTGCTCGCGAACTACGGTAAACAAGTACCGACGACATGCTGCACGGTACGGTAATCAACAAGTATTTAACATTGATTTATTAGTCCCCGTTCGGACGCAGTCCGAAAACGGGGACTTATGTTTTGCCCAGTGTGCGTCCGCCCGTCCGTGCGTCCGTGATCACCTGTATCTCGAACATGCATGGACCGAT